TTATATATATATATATATATATATATATATATATATATATATATATGGCTATTCGGCTGCATGTCCATCTGCACACCAGAAGAGGGCATCAAATCCCATATATGTGTATGCTGGGAATTGAACCTAGAACCTCTGAAAGAACAACCAGGGCTCTTAACTGCTGAGCTGTCTCTCCAGCCCCTCACTTACTGTGGTGATTTGAATGTGCTTGGCACAGGGGCCGTGGCGCTATTAGTAGGTGTGGCCTTGTTGGAGGAAGTGTGTCACTATTGGGGTAAGCTTTGAGTCTCCTGTGCTCAGGCTCCACCTAATGTGGAATGGCAGTCTCCTCTTGGCTACCTGCAGAGGACAGTCTTTCCTCCAGCACAGTGTTTGCCTGGCAGCTGCCATGATGATAATGGACTGAACCTCTGAAATTGTAAGCCAGCCCCAATTAAATGCCCTTTATAAGAGGTGTCTTCATCATGGTGTCTCTTCACAGCAATAAACCCCAAACTAGGATGCTTATAACTTTAAAAGAAGATTTTTCCAAGTACAGAAGAGTTCCTTTCAAACTGTCTGTGGATTGTGTGTGTGTGTGTGTGTGTTAGGGGGTATGGTGTAAATGGTGTGTGTAACTCATTGTGCAGATGCACACACCGTGCATGAACATGCAGAAGCTGGAACAAGATGTCTGATGTCTTCCTCTATCACTCTGTCTCTCCCTGAATCAGAAGCTCCCTGTTTCTACTAGACTGGCTGGCCAGCAAGCCTCCAAAGTCTTCCTGTGTCTGCCTATCAATGTTGGAGTTACAGGCATATCAGCCATTTCCCCAACTTCTAGTGGCTTTCAAACGTTTAGCTGAAACTTACAGTAGAAAGTTTATATCAGGGTTGGTAAGATGGCTCAGCCTGCCACCAGAGCTAATGGCCTAAGTTAAATCCCTGGAATCCACATGGCAGAAGGAGAAAAGCAACTTTCATAAGCTGTCCACTGTAACGGGAGATATTAGAAAGGAGGCGCCAGGCTTAGCTGCTGTGTTCCCCACACTAACAGCCGCATTGGCTGGTGGCTTCAAAGGCTCCAGCCGGGCTGCGCCGCCCCCAGACGTTGGCGTGGCTGCTGCTTCTGCCCACCACCACCCTCGGCCTCCACGGCTCTTGGCCTGGCCCCTAGGCCAACTCCGCTGCCTTCACGGTGCTAGGCTAGCCCCATGCAGTAACCACCATCCTCGTGGTTAGGCATCACAATACCCATTAACTCGGTAAAATCAAAAGTCTTAATGCTTATAGTTAACCAAACAGATTTATATATATTAACAAATACTGAAATCCCAAAATGTCCACACAATTTAGACAAGTTATCCCAATTATCCGAACCTTTAGATTTCATATCTACCTATGCTACTTAAAGCCTTGCGGGTCCATAGTCGCTGCCATTTTCAGCTGCCCTTCTCTCTCCCCGTGTGTCTCCCTCTCTGCCACCCTTAGCTCCGCCTCCCTTTTTCCTGTCCAATCACAGGCCTCCCGCTGCAAATAGATTGGACAGGGAAATTTCTGCCACAGTCCACTGGCACAGGCGATATAGAAAGGCTATGGCAGACAAGTGAGTTATCTGGAGATGGCTCACCATTTTGCATGCCTGTGATGGGTGCGCTCTGAGCTGTAGGGTCCTCAGAGACTTTGTCCCAGGATTGCTTCTCACTGCTGATGTGCCATTCCTGCCACTATTACATAGTTTAATGGTTCCTGGGCATCAGCCCACCCTACTGGACAAGTTTCCTGAAGATCAATATGAAGATGTACTTTAATGTAGTAATGTTGTTTAGACCAATTGAAAATTTCATAATTCCTGATAATGATTTTATAGAACTCCTGAACTGATTCAAGTATTTTTAAGCCCCCTGTAGAATAAAAAGCTGCAAATAGAGTTCAGTGTCACAAGCATGAAAGTGGCACTAGGAAGAAAAATAGGCTTGGGGCAAATTTGTGATCAAGAGAAAACAGTCATTCTAGGTCAGGTCCAAGGATGAAGCCACAGGCATGCACTATGATAAAGAAAGGCCGCGTGAAACTGTTGCTTTGAACTTAGAATGAGCTTACAGAATAAACACTGCTTTGAACTTACTAACAACATCCTTCTGTAACTCCCTTTTGTGTAACATTTTATCTGTGAGGTAATTTTATATAAGATGTTTGTCTACAAAGCTATAAAAGGGCTGAGAGAAACAGCAAAGTGTGGCTGTTGGGGCTCTGCTCCCTCTGCCAAATGTGTATATATGTCTCTCTGTATGTACATACAAATGTCTCTATGTATATATGTCTGTCTATCTAAATGCATATACATACATATGTATGTATGTATATCAGTGTGCACATACAAATATGAAATGAATGGAACTGGTGGTCCAGACATGGCCGAATGTGTGTGTGTGTGTGCATGCACGCACACGCACGCACACGCATGCACACGCACACACGTACATGACTTCTTCTCTATCCTTTTATTTCTCAATGGCTCGTGAAGAGTCAATGAGCTCCAAGCTTCTCCAAGCCAGCAAGTGGCTCCAGAGTTAAGGAGCCCAAGTAATTATGTTCTTTCCTAATTCCCTACTGCTTTCAACTGGAGTCAGTTGCCAGAAGCCATCAGTTTTTGGCATCAGAATAGCTAGGGAGTTAATTGTCAGAAGTCACCACCT